GTCCAAAAATCTCACCATATACAACCTTGAAGCAGGACAGTCCCACAATATTCCTTTTCCTGTCTCTTGCTTTCATTCACCACCCCCTTCTTGAACATCCACCTACCCGAGAGACATCATAGCAGCAAATGGCGAGACAGGATCTTCTAAAATTGCCAGCCTTGAAATCGTAATTCTACCTCAGCCTCTGCAGTGTTGGGAGTATAGGCTTGTAGCACCACACTGGGCTTTTATGGTAGCTCTTTTATATTCCATATAAATAAGTTGTGAATTAGGAATGCAATCTTAGAGAGGGGCTGAACATTTAAGACATTTTTGGTGCTTTGGTAAGTTCTTAATTTTTTTGATAAGACTCTAAACTTGATGTAACAATCAAAATTGAGCATTCAAAGTAATCTTTCTGGGATCATAATGAATTTTCTAGATTCTGCGAATAGATTTCAGATAAACTAATTGTAATAACTGATTTTGTGATTAAATGTGAATGATCTTGGACTGATTTTAGAAATGAGGTTTTATTTGTCCTTGATATTTTCCAGAGGGTTTTTTTTTTTTTTAAACAAACCTTTGAGGTCTGTAGTTTTGATCAATACAGTAGTAGAACATATGCCTGGCATGAGAATTTGACCTCATGTCAAGCCCCAAGTTTGTTGCCAGCACCAGCAAAGGCTAAAAACAATTCTGTTCCATACTGGTAGAATAGTCAGGTAGTTATTAAAGTTTGTCTATAATTTCCTGTCTGGGATTTTAGGACTTAAATACACAGATAATACACATTTAGGACAGATGTAGTTACAATATGAAGTTTTTATTTTCCTAAATTTCAGTTTCTAGTTTAAGTGGAAACGAGCAGTATAATTCAGTAGATTGAGAGTCCCTTTACCTGAAATGATTAAGAAGAAAAAGTTTTGCTTTAAAGTTTTCTCACGTGATTGATCTCATATGAGGTTAGTCAGGTGAAGTTTCTTCCTCTTGTGTACCATTGAGGGTTCAGAATAAAAGTTTTTTGTAATTTTCAGATTTTCTAATTAAAGATGCTCCAATCCCTCCCTCCCTCCCTCCCTCCTTCCCTCCTTCCCTCCCTCCATCCCTCCATCCCTCCATCCCTCCATCCCTCCATCCCTCCATCCATGTTTTTGATCTCTGTAGTTTAGGCCGACTTGAACTCAAGATGTAGCCAGGCTGGATTCTTAACTCCTGGCAGTCCAAATGCTGAGATTTCAGTCATGTACCATCTCATGGGGGTGTTTAACCTTTTTATCAAAAAATTTAAAGTTACTTTTAAAATAATTTTTAACAGTATTATACTAGCTTCTAGCTTTTAGAAAAATATAACAGCAAGGAGTTTTTTTTCTTTCTTTGACTCTAGGTTTGTATACCTCTGATTCAGAGCACAATAAGTGATTCTAGTGCTTCACCTCCAGGAAGTTCATCTCGTGTAACTACTCCAGGATTAAATCCCGGGACTCCTGTACATAAAGGTAAAGGACATACGTTCTTTTTTTCTTTTTTTAAAGGCTTTGAATGAAGACATAATATCTTTAAAAATCCATGTATATATTTGTTTTGTTATTGTTGTTTTTTTTTTTTCCAGGCGTGGGGAGACAGTGGGTTGAACCCAGGGCCTTGTGCATGCCTGGCAAGTGTTATACAACTGAGCCAATTCCCCATCCCTTTTTTTTTTTTTTTTTAAATTTCATTTATTTATTTGTGTGTGTGTGTGGCCAGTTCAGCCCACCAGGGGGCGGGGCTGGCTGGCATGTGGTGCTGGGGGATTGAACCGCGGTCCCTGTGCTTT